ACGGCCATACCACGTTGAATGCACCAGTTCTCGTCCGATCACTGAAGTTAAGCAACGTCGGGCTCGGTTAGTACTAGGATGGGTGACCGCCTTGGAATACCGAGTGTCGTAAGCTTTTTACTTTTTCCCTTGTTTTTACGTGTTCTTCTTTTGTGTAGAAGAACGAATATTCTTCTTTTGTATAGAAGAACGAATAGCTTCGCATAAGATGGAATATGTTTCATTTTGATCAAATTTATTGAAAATTTCAAAACTTATTATCTACTATCATGCCGATTCTTCCGACATTTTTTTGTTGTTGTTTCTAAACCCAAAATGGTATTGTCGTACATTTGAGAAACGATTTGACGCTTTTGTATCGTTACTAAACGGTCGGTGTTGATTTTTTAAAATACTTTTTTGAAAAATATTTTAAGAAAATAGAGGGTTTTTATCAATATCACAAAAACCTAAAAGTATTCTATTTTTCGTTACGAAACTCAAAGGATTGACATATAAACCCTTTTAGTATTGGACCTTGGTGGAAGAGTGTGAAGTTTTTTTACTTTTAGTGAAATCTTCGTTAAAAAAAACGGTTTAAAGCGTACTTTTGATAGATGAGGTGACATTCCAGAGCACGAGAAAATACATTTCGATTCCACTTTGACACATAACACCGTGTTCAAAATAAATATATTTTGATTGCGTTTTGTGTTTGAAAGTAATCGAGATTGAATCAAAAAGTCCACATACAATGCAATTCTGACAAAACGAACGTTAAAAAAGGATTTTTCACGCAATTTAATCGATGTAAAAACAAGAGAAAGATAAAAAGTCTTAAACAGAAATTTCTGTGGCGAAGAGTATGACATTGGTGGGGAGGGAAGAAAAAGAGGTGGAAAAAAAACTCTTTAGATAATGTGACCAAGGGTAGTATCTTGTGATCTTAGCATCATGGCGATTCTTCTGACATTTTCGTATCGAAAGATGCGGCGTGCTGATGAGGAAGATGGATAGTCACGTAATTGCTTTTTATTGGATTGGTTCTTTAGGTTGGTTTTTATGTATAGTGTCTGAATTTTTTGTTGTGTTTTGCCTTTGTCAGAGACTGTGTGTTGATGGCCATTGTTTTATTTTGGGCTATGTCCCCACAGGTGGCATGTCTTGTAAAAGTAGGTTTTTTTCGATTTTTAAGTGTCGGCACTTATACTTCGGGGTGCTCTTCCATTCGAGATAGTAAATGTCTGTTTTAATAGACTTTGGATGTAGTGAAAAACAAGGTGAAAGTTGCGTGGTTCTGAGACAGGTCCAAACTTGGCGTGCGTAGCAGGCATGCCGAATATGACTCTTTTAGCGAACAAGTGTGGGTTTTTGTTTTAGATGCTCTATATGTTGACATTTTTGCGGCTCTTATGTCATGTAATGGTTTGTGGACCTGGACGGGCGCGCCCGAAAAGAATAAGTGAAAGTTTGTAAGCATACATTACATCCTTTTTGTTCAACCGTTCTCCGTCACTGCTGAGCTAGCATAAGAGAACAGTTAAGATTTTCAATATCCTGCTCACACCACACCGTATTGTGGCGCCCTTTATTGAGTTTGTTTTGTAATTAACTAGTTGACTGTATGTAGTGAGAGATGATATCTGAGTGTGCTTCTGCGGTCTTGTACAGTTCTGCGGCAGAATAATGTATAGTGGTTATGCTCTCTCTTATGATTGGATTGTCCATGGAATATCTAACGGCCATTTTTTGGTATTTTGCGCACACGCAAACACACAGAGAATCACTTTGTAAGACCCTAGACTAAAGTCAAGGGAACAATCAGCAAATGCTTTAAATTATTATGGAAGTGAAAATGATGCCTTGCTCCATGTTTGCGGCTAGGCAAGTCTGGTATCACTCTATTAGCACCATCGTGGCTTCTAGTTTTATTTAAGGGTAAAGTATAGGTCTGTTGATAAGGACTTAATTGCTAATAATATGTGATTTTTCAGGGAAGTTATAGCTCAGTAAGAAATGACCATAGCACTACATGCTAATTTAAAAGAATGTTGTCTTTCTTTATCTAAATAATTTTAAAAATTAAAATAATACAAAGAATTTGATGACCATGAGTTCTCGACAACCAGTACGAAAAGTGTTGGCAATTGTGACGAATGATAATACCAAGAAACGAGATCGAAATTCTGTGATTAGCAGTAGCTCACTATCGGTATGCACAAGATAATCGTGAATCTGTCGTGTACATAATTGAATTTGATCTTGTTCTTTTGTTTTTAGCTGCCTCAGTCATCGTTTGAACGTTTAAGAAAAACAGAAAGAGAATTGTTCAAATCTTTAAATTATCTGGAACAAGTTTTAACACATAACAAATTGGAAATATTGAGTAGCATTACTACATCATTAATTGAAAACATACTCGATTTTGACAGTGTTTTAAAAGGAATATTTGAAAACGAAACAGAATTGTACAGGTAAAACAATTAAGATTCACTTCTAAATTAATTTGACGATAGTTTGTACATTTAGATTATCACTGTTGGCGGACGTTTATTCATTATTGGCAGATTTAATTAACTGGGCAGATAAGGTTTTGTTAAATAATCTAAAAGTAATTGATAAAACATATGAAAAAATTATTAATGATTTTAAACAAGCTGTAAAGGTAAATATATACAGTCATTTATTTTACTTTTTGGAATCCATCATATTATTCATTTCAGGACGCCATATCCATTGCATGTGAAAATTTATCGACACAAAGTGTTGAGTCACGTTCTGATTCATTTCATAGTTTCGGATCGACAAACAGGTAAAAATTCTAACAATGAATCTTCTCCACATTTATTAATAATTTTTTCATTATTTAGCTCCGATGATGATTTAGCACCAACATTGCCACCGAAACGTCGAGTACGTCCCGTAAGTTGTTCAAGTACAACAACAACCCCATCGACCAATTTGACATCCAAAAACACAAACGGACATAAGAAGAGTACAAATTCATTGATATCAACCATCACATTAACCTCGAATCAAGTTTTACCTGAACAACAATGCACAAGTTTAACTCCTGTTCGTGAACATTATACACTTGATGATGAATCATCTTTAAAAGATGATCAACGTATCCAATTGATTGTGAATGATATTAATGATATTGTCGAAAAATATACAAAAGAATTGGAAGATGCATTGCGTCAAACAAAATCAATGCCAAATACCGATTTTCTTCCTCCCACTCATAAATCTGGTTCATCATCATCATTGGTTCATCGTAATAATACTCATTTTTCTTCCACTTCTTCTCGTTCACCATCATCCGATAATGTTGTTACTCTATTAACTGATGAACAATCAGAAAAGGCCGTGGCGACAATAAATCCATTATGGTCAACATTATCATATCGTCGTAATAGTATTGATGCGTTATCTACAACAACCGATCCATCACTCAAATATGAAACACGTATATCAAAAATGAGTAAAAGAACAACATTAACAACAACAACAACAATGAACGGAAAACGTTTAGAAGACAAAAAAGAGTCATGTCAAATTTATAATGAAATGGAATGTGCGTTAGCATCTGATAAAGCCGATTATTTAGCTAATCAACGAAGCTTATTTATAAGAAATGATAAAATACATCAACCATCAATTGGATATGAAAATCAACAAACAATACAAACAAATAAAACAGAACTGAAAGAGATCATGCGTCTAAATAATAACAGCCACTTAACGATTGAAAATCAACGAAAAACAAATGCCATTATCAAAGGAGAATCGTCTCATTTGAAAACACCTGAAACAGTTACACTAGTTGAAGGTTCTTGTGAAGGTTATAAAAAAACTGACTCAGAATCAACTACATCGCCAACAAATGGCAGTAAGACGCCACCGTTACCACCCAAACGAAAAACAGGTATTTTATCTTTTCATCAATGCTATAACAATCATATCAATTTATTTTAATTCTAGCGCGAGCATACATGTCACTATTTGATCGCTACGATGAAAATCAAGCCCAGGCATTTTTACGGGATGAATTCTTTTTAAATCAACCACCACAACGACGATTTGAAGATTTATTTGAGCAATTACATGAACATTTTCGTGAAATGAACATTTTTCCATCGGATGAATCATTAAAAAGTTCTATTCGAACAGAACAACAACAAATTCCATCTAGTCTAACTCATGTGACCAATGGACTCCCGAAGGTAGATATCTTTTTTCTACTTTAACTCGAGTATAATCGAATAATTTCTTATTTAGAATGGCATAAAACAAGCCGATAATAATTCAGAACATGCACAAAAGAAGTATGTTCAAACTGTAAATCTTATTTTTATAAAATGATGCCTTACATATGTGTGCGTTCTTTTTTTTCAGTCTGAATAAATACGATATTGATACAGATGTTGCAAACCAAGCTGAAATGGAGTTGTTTTTAGAAGATGTATCACATTTACTTGTTTTTAATCAAGTAAAAAAAGAACTGTTATCTTTTGCTTGTGTAACTTTGTTTTAAAAATATTTTCAGAAAGAAGATCCATCCTTGCGTGGTGGTACTGTTGATGCATTAATTATTCGAGCCACATCGCCCGATAAAAAAGGTTTGTAAAGGAAACTGAAATGAAAGAAAAGAGAGAGATATTAGCATAAAATATTTTTTTATTCAGATTTTATTTATCAAGAAGCATTTTTAACCACCTATCGCACGTTTGTCAAACCACAAAAACTTGTTGAAAAACTCATACAACGCTATACATTTTTCTTTAAATGTGAAGCAAAGAAAAAAATTGCTCGTTATGCAATTTCCTTGTTAATTCGAGTTATTGATGAAATAGAGTAAGTAGTCAAAATGTGAATTTTCTACACTCTCTAACTGTTGAAATACAAGACAACCTGTTAGACTTTGAGATTGTTATAACTATAACTCTGCCGATAGTTATACTATGAAGTGTGAAAGTGCATCTACTCTTTGAAAGTTCTTCGCATAGTCCATATTCTTAAGGGTTCAAAGCTACTCTTATTGGTCGTTGATATACTAGATTTGATTCATTTTGTTTCAGTAATGAACTATCGGATAATATGATGACGTCCTTATCATTATTTGTCACAAACTTAATACGAAATAGTGAATTACAATTGGGAAAATTATTGCGACGAAAATCTTTGGAACGTTTTTTAAAACGCACACAACAAAATAAAACAAATATTATTTTAATACAAAATCAAATATCACCGAAACGTTCAACACTTTTAGATTTTCATTCAAACGATATTGCTGAACAAATGACATTATTAGATTCAGAATTATTTCTAAAAATATCATTACCAGAAATATTGTATATGTCAATTGAAAAAGGAGAAGACTATTGTCCAAATTTATCATATTTCACTGAACATTTCAATAAAATGTCTTATTGGTAATAACATTTTTCAGCTGATATCAATATTTTCTACAGTTTTCTACTGTAATTTTAGGGTTCGATCACGAATATTAGAACAAAATTCACAGAGACAGCGTGAAAATTACTTTGAAAAGTTTCTCAAAATTTTAAAGGTAAACACGTGTTTTATTTGAAAGATCTTTTTCTATAAAACATATTTACTTCTTTTAGCATCTACGACGTCTAAATAACTTTAACTCATATTTGGCTATATTATCTGCTCTCGATTGTGGACCACTGAAACGTTTACATTGGTCTAAAAGTATTATCGAATCAATAGCAGAACACACAGTTTTAATCGATAGTACAGGCTCATTTAAAAACTATCGTGAGGCATTATTAAATTCTGTTGGTACACCATGTATACCTTACATTGGTCTAATATTATCTGATTTAACATTTGTTCATATTGGAAATGCCGATTATTTACCTGATGGTAAAACAGTTAATTTTTGGAAACGATGGCAACAATTTAATATACTTCATAAACTTCGTTATTGTCGAAAATGGTATTGTAAAATTGTTAAAATTGCTATAAAATATTTATCTTTTATGTTTTTTAGGGAACATAAATTTGAACGTTGCGATCGTATATTGTTCTTTTTCAATAATTTTGATGATTATATGAGTGAAGATTCACAATGGCTTCAAAGTGAAAAAATAAAACCACGATCAAAAGCAAATCCCTACGGTTAATAAACTTGTCTTCCAATATTCATCGTTCAGTTTTCTGACGATGCGTGTACAGTTTGCCTTAAAAAATGTTCTGCTATTATATGTGTGTTTGTGTGTGTGTTTGTAATTTGAGTGCTAAACATTTTTTCCTGGTTTTCTCAGTCATGTGCTACATTTTTTTGTATTTGCGACAGTATAATTCTACCAAATATTTGTAATTTTTAATTGTATGATTTAATCAATCGAGATTATTTATTTATTTTCATTAGAAGTAAGACTTTCATGCGAACACTAAAATCAACAGAGGACTCACTCATATCATAATTGTCAGATATTTTCACAATTCACACTTCTTGTTTTTCATAAACAGCAACAATTTTTGTTCTACTACATTTTTAGTCCACTGATACAAAAAAAAAGAATTGATCTATCACTTCTTTGGTCAAATATCCTTCAAACGCACTCGTTGCTCTTCTTCCTCTTACGTGTGTTGCAAGTCATTAATTTAAAAGATTTTTATTCGTGTTTTTTGTTTGTACCTTTTAATAGAAATCGCGTTTTTTTATCTTTTTTGTATATGCACGAATCAATCTCATGGATGCTTTATCATTCTATTTTTGTTGTATTAGTCAATAAGTGAAATAAATTTAATTTAAGTATCACGTCGGTTTTTTTAACAACAAACGTTAGAAAACCTAACGACTGCTTTTTCGTTGAGAAAAGAATAAAATAACGTTCTAAACTCTTTGTACGTATGCTCGCAATGTACGTAGATGGGTTTTAGTAGAAAGCATCACCAAAGATATTTTGTATGCGTACAAGATAAAACCGTTAAACATGAATCTCGATGCTGATGGTAGTTATTTAAAGATGTAAGCTCATATCATCTCGATTGACAATTTGTCAATCGAGAAGTTATTGTCAATGACAATAACTTCATTGTTTCTAATATTTGTTTACTATCACCTGATGCAGATGTAATGGAAATTATTGGTTTGTGTGTGTTACAACAGTTATCAACACGTGACGATAGTCAATTTTTTCTGTTTTCCCAATATCAAATTTATTCTACGTTAGGTATTGAAAAACCATTACTAATAAAAGTATAATCAACTAAGCGTGCGTCAGGCATCGATCACCATCGTCTAACATTGAAATATTTCTCGAGATTCGTTGATCCGCTCATTTATGTCTTGTGATGGAGAAAGTCAGACATATCTAGCTAATGAGTGCTTTAAGCGAGTGAAGATTAGATCGTGATCTCCATCAACACTTTTTTTTTAAATGTGCATCAGAAAATAAGTATTCTGACAAAAATAAGAAAAAGTCAGAACACTTCACAACATTTTTTATTCTATCTCGTCATGTAAACAGTTAAATTTGCTCAACACATTCATGAAAAGTCACGATGAATCTTCATAATGACGTTAAAGAAAAAATACTTTTTCTGTTATCGTTATAGCTTTTTTCTTTTTAATTTATACTCTAAATTGGCAACATCCTATACCGTTAAAGATGATGGCACGTCATCACATCTACAGTCAAAACAATATCTCTTTCCCACACTTCCTGGAAATTACGAACATAAAATCAAGTTTAGTTTCAACGGGACAAATGTAATATTTAAAAAAAGCCGTTCTTACTAGAATTTCACGGCGAATTTCTTGTTTTTTAGCAAAAAGTGTAGTTTACCTAGCCACGTTAGAAAAAATGAAATAGACTCATACCTTTCGATGTAGAATGGGAACCAGAAAAGTAAGTTAACACAAGGAAAGATATAGAGATAAAAATAAAGTGTTCTTTCAGTTGGTTTCATGCAGAGTTGTAACCGGGCCGGCAGATCGCCCGGTCTTTTGCCGGGAGAAAGATTTTCAAACCGGCCGATGATTGACCGGTTTTGAAAATTCTTAGCATTTTTCTCTTCTTCACGAAAAAAAAAAGAGTTTTGCTACCCTCTTGTCCGTCTAGGAAATATTTGAAAACCGGCCGTTTTTCCACTGGTCTAAAAATTTTTCGAAAACCGGCTGTTCTTTAGCCGTTTTTTAACCAGCCTAGAGAGTTTTTGAAAACCGACAGGTCTTTTGCCGGTTTTTCACCAGTCTAAACCGATCTTTGGACCGACCGGCCTGGTCCGGCCTCTTATTTTTAGACCGGGTACAACTCCGGTTTCATGTTTGTTTGTCGATACGCAGTGACCTTGAGGCATAGTGTTAGAATGTAATCTCCATGATACAAAGTACCGGGTTTTCGACTGTATCCATCATTTCGCCAAAAAATCATAACAGAACGGAAATTATGCGAAAAAATGGGTAATTTCCTTTTATGGTCCATAAACAGAATCAGAATAGGAATTTGAGTTTTGATCGGAGCCAGAGCATTGGAAAATTTCGGTGAATAATCAGTTTTTGGAATAACTTTTTTCAGAAAAAATTATTTCCATTTCTACTTTCTTGCACTTAATCTAAGATCTAGGAAAAGAGAAAAGTTTTGACCAAAGTGGAAACAACAGCTGAAAAATCTTGCGTCCCCCCACATACCTGTCTTTTGCGACAGTACCTGTCTTTTTGCGAAATTCACACTAAAATAATGGTTATTCTGTTTTCTAATTAGTTTTTACCTCAGTACCGCAAAAAGTTCCTTATTTAAATCACATATAACTTGTTTTTATTGAAAAGTGTAATCTTGTTTGTTCCAGTAACTTTTCTCTAGTTAAAAAGAGGCGAAGAAGGAATGTTTAATAACCGAATTTGAGAACAAACCAGGTTCTCCTTATCTTTTATATTAACCTTCTCCTGAACAAAAAAGCCTAACTCTCAATACGAATAACGAATAACCGTTATTCTAGTGTGAATCTCTCAAAAAGACAGCTACTGCATGTGGGAGGACCATTGCTGCCACTTTGTTCGGATTTTCCGGACAAATTCCGGTTTTTTGAGTTTTTTCTGGAGTTTGGACTGGTGCCTGGGATTTGTCAAGATTTTGAGAATTTTTTCCTTTGGCTGTTTTTTTCTTTTCTTTTTTTATCTATAGTTTTTTTTTTTTATCTATAGAGTTTTTATTACCTATAGTTTGTGGAGATTGCCTTGCTCATATTATAGGCCAGCTAAAATGTCAGTTAACTTTTCGGACCAAAGATATACATTCAAAAGCAGTTAAAATAGAAATTATACTTATACCTGTTGTCTTCTTGTATTTTATCGGGTAAAATCATATAGAGCTAGAGAAGAAACCTTTTTTGGCACTCTGGGTAGCGGAAAAAGGCTACATCTTTAAAACGATAGTTTTTTTATTTTGTGGCTATTCCCATTTGTCTATGTGGTGTTTCTTCAGATAGTCAAGTACAATGCTTTGCGATTCTTGACTATCTGTATTAAACTAAAAGGCTACATAAGGCAGTGAAAATGAGTCTCCGTTTTTTTTTTCAATTTTAGGATTATGATTCCGGATTTCTGACTTGTACAGGTGACAGCTCTGGAGAGGATTTTTCAGCTGTTGTTTCCACTTTGGTCAAAACTTTTCTCTTTTCCTAGATCTTAGATTAAGTGCAAGAAAGTAGAAATGGAAATAATTTTTTCTGAAAAAAGTTATTCCAAAAACTGATTAGGCACCAAAATTTTCCAATGCTCTGGCTCCGATCAAAACTCCAATTCCTATTCTGATTCTGTTTATGGACCATAAAAGGAAATTACCCATAATTTCAAATTTATCTACGCCAATTTAAAATCAGCCTAGGAGAAACCGAAATATCAGTTTTACCTAGGCTGATTTTAAATTGGACGAGGCATAATTCAAATCAACGTGTGCATGCATCTTGATTTGATTTATGCCTAAGCGAATTTAAAATCGGTCTGAATTTGAATTACGCCTGTGACATATATATAGAAGTATTGGTTAAGAAAACGTGTCCCTCGTAGAACAACATTCCAATTACTTATCAAAAGTCTAGCAAATTCGCCAATAATTCGATCTACTGTCATTTTTTTCTCGTTTACTAGCACCATCTCTAGTCGTTCGTTGATTCGCTCAAGTGTGATTTTATCATTTTCGCATTTATTAATACCTGTGTTCATTCCTTCTTCAATAGTAAATTCTTTGCTTTGCTATAATGGTAAACATGATTACAATCATAACTCTCTACATTAAACTAGGAATTTATTTTGTTTTCAATATCTTCTTTGTTCTGAATACCATCTAGATGGTATAATTTTCAAAACCTTTAGAATGATGTTGGTCTTTCATTGCTGAAAATGATCAGCGAATCCAAATGCATATTGTTTTTTGAACCGATCGAGTTGCAATGTAGTCTAAGTGCCAAGTTTTTTATTTTTGTATGTTTTCTTAATCTTTTTTTATTTATTTATTTAGAGGGGATACGACACCAGCAAATTGTGGGTATACCATGAAGGTTGCTAGATTAATCTAGCTCGTATTTAGTAGTACTGTTCCGAAATGTTATGCTAAATGTGTAGCAATGTCCTGCTAAAAGTGGGATAATGTTACTAGAAAACGTAAACGGTAAAACTTAACACTATCACACTTTAAGCATGACATTGGTACACATTTACTGTAACATTTCACGACAGTGTGCTTGATTTTATTTGCAAGGGAAATCGAGATGTGCAATACTAGAGAGATTTCTTCGCATGAAGGCGTCTGAAAGGATTTCAGTTTATTGTTGCTGGTATTTGCTTAAGTTAACTTTATTGAACGGAAACAATATTTGAAAATCTTTACTGCAAATACTTTGAAGCTGCGTTATTGACTGGAAATGTGCTGATCTCTGTTCAAATGAATGTTACACTACGCCCAGAATTATCTTGTTAAACAAGAAACTTGTTTAGTTGTTGCGTTCACTCTAAGATTGCTAACTGAAGCTATAGAAAATCGGACGACCATTCTTTTTCTGAAATCATGAAGTAGTAAGAGACGAAAACATTGATCCACTTTGTATTTAGTACTACTTATAATATCATACTTCTCATTCGAATCCTACGAACAACTTAGAGACGCCGTTTTCGAGAAAAAACTTCTAATTTAAATACTTTTCCTTTTAGATTTCATTATCTTGACCAATCATAATGAGTTTACACAATGATAAAGAACTCAGTGATTTACTTGATCTCAATGCTGTAAGTAATAAATATCATGTAAAACTCGTTTTCTTCATCTTTTCGGAATTGGTTAAAATCAAAAATATAAATTATTTCCTTTCAGGTGAAACATCGTACTCGTTTAACTACTTTACATGATCAAAATTCAACAAGAATTCCTTCGGTATTTCCTCTAATTACTCTACTATTTTTATTTTTTTGATTCAGAATGTCTGCATGTTTGTCACATTATTAGTATAAAAAAAAATAACATTTTTGTAGTTCCATTTTCTTCGGATAAAGAAATTTTGTTGTTTTTTCTTTGCGCATGTTTTGCTTAGTGTTTATTTGTATCTATGTATATTATTTGAGTTATATTATTCAATATTTGTTTCTTTTTGTTTGTTGTATAGATGTTGTGCTCTACAGTGACCTATCATGGTGCTAATATGCATCCCGATAATACAAATTCCGAGGCACTCTATTCTACCAATGGATCAAAGGGTTTGTTATCAGTATTTTTTTTCTCAATTTACAATGTTGATATCAATTTCTTTTCTATAGGTCCTGATTTTTGGAGTGGAGCTCTCAGTTCTGTTTATGACGATGGGGTGAGCGTATATTTCTCTTCTTCACAAATAACAACATTTGATATATTTGGCTTTTTCTCTAATTTTAGATATACGATGGCGGATTCAGTAATCGAGACATTTTACATCCATTTATAACATCCGAACCACTAAGTATGCCTTTGTATTCGAAGTTTTAACAGTGTTGAAAGCTCATATCTTTATCAACTAATTTTTTAAATAATTAAGAAGCATTATTGTGAGGATATAAGCTATATTAAAAATTAAACAAAGAGTTACTTTGACTAATGCTAAAAAAATGGATTTTTTTACGCTAAAGTGTGTGTGTATGATAAAATGTGATGTACTTTTTTAGACCGTAGCAGTGACTATACCACCAATACAAATCGGAATCAAGTAAACATTATTATAAATCTATAATAGAATATATTCATGATTTTTTTGCTATTTATTTAGCCTCCAAGAACATCTTCAGATTTACAATACTCAGGTGAGAAATCGTTTATCTATTTAGCATTTTCAGTCTAGTTACAAAGTTGCTAATATAATTTCTTTTTAGACAAAGGAGACGATAAAAAACGACGAACTTCAATCGTAAGTTATGTTTATCGATATTTTTGTTCACTGATGATTTTACAAATATACATTCTCTATCCAAGTTTTTCTTTCGCTTAATAAACCAGTTTAAGTGTCTTTGTTTTATAATAGACAACAAAAAAATCTATAATTTTTAGATACTTTAGTAACGTGCCATTTCATGTTAGACTCTATTCTATCAATATTCAGTCCTGTGTTTACTTTCTCTACGAAAACTAGTCATTTTCAAATTGAACTAAAAGATAATTCAGTAGATATTTTAATTTTCAAATCGTGTTCGTTTCATTTCATTTTCTTCAGTGCTTTTTTTTCCTATTTTACACGTTTAGATGCCGAGTATAACTATGCATATTCGATTAGATCCACTTTCTTAATTACTGTCAATATATATATATATTGTGTTTGCGTTTTCTTTTACTAAAATTAAAATGAATTATAAATTTATTGACGTTTCACTTGAGTTAGAAATAATGATGATGATCTGTTTTTGATCAATAATTTTCTTTTGAGTTTTTGACATTGTATGGCACGAAATGTTAGAATTTCTTGATTTTGTGTTATAATGTTAAATATGTGTAATTTTCATCGATTTGGTTGAAAACCAATTTTAACTTTGCAATCTAACTCCGTTTGTGATTTGTTTAGTCAATTACTTGACAAAAATATAAATTTTAGGAGATAGCCAAAGTCAGACGTCAGTGGTTAGGATTACCACGATGAAGCACTAATGATTATTGGCAACAAGAAACGTTAGATCTTGTCTAAACTGTTCGTTAATCATTAGTATTCTTGCATTATTCAATTGATTCAATCAAATACGAATCTGTTTCTCGCATTTTGTGCTATTTTATCATTCATTTTAACACTAATCTCATCTGATTAATTACCATACATTAATTATTGTTCAAAAGTTAACAAATTAATGAAGAGTGCAATCATTTTTCTAGTTTTTATAATTTCTTTCCTTTATTGTATATCGAGAAGTGAACTAATTCTAGTTTAAACTAGAAATATACTGGATTGTAGTTATCTTAAACCCGGGATGGGCCGATATGTTTGTTCATTCTTATTTTTCTTTCCTTAAAAAGTAATATTCTCTTTCTATTTACCTCTAATGATATGGGATAGCCAATTTCTTTGCTAGCTGAGAGAGAATGATAAACGTTGGCGTTCAATTTTTTCATCTTTTCGACAGCTTCGTTCAAATTATTTCGAAAGTTTAGGCATACAGACATTCAGATAAAAATTATGTGATGGGGAAGAACAGAAAAGAAAAAAGAAGGAACGTAACATAGGTGCTGTATTGATTAGTCTCTCTATATATGGATGATGAGAAAATTTGGTAGAAAACATAAAATGAGAATAGTGCTGTTCAATAAAAGTAAATTATTTTTTGAAAAACAAGCATCTATATATTAGAGGGCACCGCGTGGACAAGAGACGAAGAAGAAGAAGAAAAAATAGTTTGTTTTTCCAAGATTTCTTAAATTGACATATTTTTTTCTATCTAATCAACTTTCATTTCTAATTACCATCTATACGCAATTTTTTTTTTCGTCATTGAATCATTTAAACAATATGATAAAAAAAAATGTGATCGACAATTTGTATGTATGCTAAAAACCATATTAAACATTATCTTCACACACATACATACAAAATGGCAATGTTAGATTATGGTTGTGGTTACGATTCATATCCGGTAAGATATTTGTAATTCTGGTTATCGTTTTGTTTGTTTTTATGATACGACAAAGAGAGAAAATGTGTTGCAACTAACAATCTCAAATATATGTGATCGGTGAGGAGAGTTCTTTGACTTTTCAGTTTGATAGCGGAGTGAATGACATTTTCTATTGTTAATATTTTGTTAACAAAGTTGACTTCTACTATACGATTCATAAACTGCTAAGTAACTCATAGTTTTGATGAGAAGAAAAGAGTATATCTACTATTAATTTAAATAAATTTTGCATGTACGGCGGCTGAGTACAGTCGATTCATCGATCCATACAAGTATCCATAGAAAATCCGAACTTTGACCGTTGTATATGTTTTGCTTTTTAATTAACTGACAGATATACAATTGAGAAATTTGTTTATTCCGATTATTTTTATGTATGGCTCACTTCTCATGCCGTCTTGATACAGATATCTTTATTTCATTTTCAAGTCAAATGTAATTTATCTTTATCTGTTTATGACATTTAATTGACGTATGAATAATTGATATAATCATTTGCCATTGTTTGTTCTTAGTAGAGAAATTCCATTGAAACAACACATTTTTACTGTCAAAATTTTCTTATTTGTAACTATCACTAATTTCCAATTTGATAAATTGAAAATTATTGTTGTTGTTTCCCATTTTAGATAGGCTACTTAGATTGAAACTGCGAAGTCGAATTTTAATTATTCACTTCGTTTTTCTAAAATTGACACAAAAAAAAAGAAAGAAGAAAAGTTGTCGTCATCATCTCTTTTGAGTACAATTATCCCTGTTTTAGTGTTCGGATATAGACGATCTATGATATATATATATATAGATATACATATACATGAGATGTGGTTTTATTTTTTCTATTGTGTGAATAAAAAGAAACTATTGAACAGTTGTTCAAATTTCAATACATATATATCCTTTTTATTAAACTCAACGCTCTCTTCGTATTTCTCTATTATCCATGATTGAAAAGAAATTTTTTAACATTTCATGTGTCATTGAAAGAGTTATATTTTGTACATAATGTGTAACACTACTGTTCAAGTACATTCATACCCAGCATGATACCATTCAATATGTATATATACATACACATGCATACACACACTCTTCTTAAAATGAAAACCCTAATTTTCCATTATCATACGCCTATCTGTTATCTCTAGTAAAGAATAAATAGAGCAATTTTTAGCAACTATTTAGTAGAAGAAAAAAAAAGTTGTTTTTTCAACATTGATCATGGAGGCCAATTCTTCTCTGAAATTTCTAATTTTCCGAAATAATTTTTAGCAGTTAGCGTGTCAACTTTTCGCTATGTTAATTTGTCGCTTAGACGTACAAATACGCGTATGGGTCTCTTTGACATTACTTGGCAGTCTGTTTTTCTTTCTTTTCCTAAGTATTTCATGTCAGAATGATTTCTTTTATCGGAAATAAAAGTGAAAAAGCAAGCTCGGATAAAATCATTCTATTTTCGTTTCATCACTTTCCGGAAGATATTTTTATAAACTTCTGGCCACAATTATAGGCCCCCCTTGTCCTGGTCAAAAAAAGAAATTGGAATCCCCGCCCTTGAATGGATTCACTTACAGTTCAAAATTGAAGAAAAAAGAAAAAATTTTAATCATGAATTTTTTTTTTTGTTGTTGTTATAATTGATCGTTGTTTTGTATGTATATGTAGAAGATCTATTGTGCATGAATGAAATTATTAATATTCGACATGAAATAAAAAACAGCTGTGACATCAAAAGTTTTTCGTCTTCATTCATGAAAACTATCATACTTATAGTTTATGAGTATGAAGAAACAAAAAAGTGGAAATAAATTTAAATATTCGAGCTTTGTATCCATTGTCGGAGAGAGAGAGAGAAAGAAAGTAGTTCAACCAAATGCAGAGAGAATAAACGTTTTTTTTTTTTTTTTTGTTAAATGAGGTATTAGACAGAAAAAAACAGAAGAAAAAAGAAAATCATTATCATATTGAAGAAAAAAATAACTGGATCATTTATCACTGACATGATTTTATGAAGACTCATTTTTCTCTTACGTAGACACAATGGACTAAGTCATTTAATAATTCAAGTCTTAATAATTTACTTTATCATAGATTCTATGTTAAAGATAATGTACCTCGTTGTTAAATCTTTCTTTACACGAAGATTTCTAGTACGAAAGGTTTTCTTTTATACAAAAACAAAACAAATAAACAACAATGGGCCTTTCAAAAAATTAACTCTGTTTTGGACAATAAACAGATGTTTGTCTCTAAGGATGTTGTAAAAAAAATTATATTTCTTAAAATAGAAGAAAATTTTTTATTTTTAGTTATTCTTGTCGATTTATAGTATAAAGATAATAAATTAGTAATGGAATATTTTGTTACTCTCTTTGATCTTTTTTCAAATTACACGAATCATATCCATAATCCTAGAAACACTTCTTGCAGATTTCCAAACGAATTAGTCAAATGTGAATAATATCTCATTTTTTTTTTTTTTTGTCACAATGAAGTCTATTGAGTCGTTTTATCTTGTTCAAATTATCGTTATTATCAACAATTATTATTGTCTACAGTCTTTAGATATGAGAATATGAATAATAATGGTAAAAGTATGTTACTCTGAATTACGCAGATAAGTAACGTCTCTTTGTAAATTGACTAACGTGTACAAATAGAGATGTATTTATATATATATATATATATATATATTATTCATAGAGAAGATGTTTAAATTAGATATATATATATTACTTTTGTCTTGAAGACAGTATAGATATCGATTGTTTAAAAAAAAAAGGAAAAAGATGACGAGAATGTGTATCATGGTCAATTATTCATTTTTTTTTTCTCAAATAACTTCGAAGAAATCCATCTCTATATGAACAATAGAGAAAAGTGTGTGTATCCTCATTATTTTTCCATTAATAATAACTGTAATTATAAGAGAATTGTTTACAAAGAATAAGAAAATTTAGAAAACTCTCTTTCGAATCAGATATTTGTATCAGTCTCTGAGGTATATGATTAATACTAGCTACCGTTGACAAATAATCTACATTTACTACTTAACTTTCAAGTAACTAAAATGGTGAACTTTTAACATTCTGTTAAAATCGTTATAAATCAGAAAAACAACAAGTTCTTTGATGCTGACTATTTGAGCTAGAGTAAAAAGAAAAAATTCATTTATAAGAGTTATGTTTGTCTTGATAATCAAAAAATAGAAGAAGAAGAAGAAAAATGAGTTTTCCAGCTGTGTTTCTATAAATAC